CAATAATATATTTAGTGTTCTTGTTAGAATTATTATTCGTCCTGTGAGTAAATCAAATGTCAGATGATCAGTAGATAATAAAAACACAAACACCTGCTGTCACACAAACAACGCTCCAATCCCTCCTGCTGTAATACTGACTGGCAGCTCGCTGCACCAATCGGAGCCCGCTGCCTCACCGGTCTGGACCAATCACGTAGCTCCTCGGCTGAACAGGGCGTGTTCCTGGAGCAGAGGACGCAGTGTCTCCGCCGCCATTGAAGCTTCGTGTGTCTCGGGGACGAATCCGCGTCCATTCATCCAGATTCTTGTTTTCTGTGGACAGCAGCGATGGTGTCTCACTCTCTGGCGCTGCCGATGATCTGCTTCACCACCCTGTGGGGGCTGGTGGGGGTCGTGGCCCCGTTTCTGGTGCCCAAAGGACCCAACCGGGGGTAGGTGGTCTCCTCCGCCGTTAATTGGCTTCAATTAACGGAGATTTCATTTCTCTTTCCTCCGCAAACTGTCACATCCAACTGCTGCTTCATGTTTCCGTTATTTAACTCACCGGTGGATCCATGCGCGGCATCGCTGTTAATACATGAACGCGCTCCTGCTCGTGATGGAGGCCCTGCGCGTCACCCTGCGTCCTCCCCCTCCATCATCCATCCACCCCTCCCTCCATCATCTATCCCTCTATAATCTCTCCTTCATCCATCCCTCTATCATCCATCCCTCTATAATCTGTCCATCATCCATCCCTCTATCATCCCTCCATCATCCATCCCTCTATCATCCCTCCATCATCCATCCCTCCATCATCTATTCCCACACTGTGTCATTAAGGTTAAAGGGTGAAAACAAGAGGAAAAGATGAACAGATCATGGGTGAGGAGTGTGAATGAAAGAAGAAACATTGGTCATGTTTACACTCACTCAACAGTCAAACTCTTTTTAATCAAACAGGGTCTAATTGTTGTGTAGTGTTCATCATATTATTAATAATTTAATTTAACTGTTGGCGAACTTCTAACTAACATGTGTCATCTCATCTCTACTTTAAATGTGGAACATGGACAGGAACATGTGGAACATGGACAGGAAACTGATTATAATAATTATAAAGGAGTTATGGGGGCTGGGTCATTATGTGATGATGCTGAAGTTCTAGAAACCAGAAGGTTAAAAGGAAACAATTCACAAAGATTCATCACAACAGAGTCATGGTTTCATTTTTCAGGACTGAGGTGAAACATTAGACGTAATAAACGAGAATCGCTTCAGTATGAACATCCTGTCATGTGATGATGATCAACAGTATTACAGAAGCAATCGTTGTTCAGGCGTGTGATTGACGGCTCTGTTCTCTCTGACAGCGTCATCGTCACCAGCCTCATCCTCACAGCCGTCTGCTGCTACCTGTTGTAAGTAAAAACTCTCCTCCTCTTCCTCATCTTCTTCTTCTTCTTCTTCTTTGCTGTGACGCTGCTGTAACTTTGCATGTTTTTTTTTTTTAAGGGTAATGTTTTCGCAATGGACTAAATCTTATAAAATAAACAAAATAAAACCTTGAATAGAAACATCCAGAATAAATAAACCGACAGGAAGAACACAAACAGAAGCAAAACACATTCAAATCGTTTTGTATTGTACGTCAATGTTAAATATTCAGATCCATGACAACATTAAGCGACTTCTTTCTTGGCTCATGTTCCATCTTCCTCCGAGTTTCATGGACGTTCCTTCAGTAGTTTCTGTGTGATGCTCAGGCTCATACAAACCTGTAAAAAAAACAAAGTGTGGTCGAAGTAGTGGAGGACGACCATGTAGGTTCATACATCTGCCACCAGAGGGCGCTCCAGCTCCTTCAGATGATGACCGTCCCTCCAACAACAAAGAGATCAAAGCAAGTGGCTGATTCTCAAACTGTAAAAGTAGGAATCGGACTACAATCACCCAAGGTTTTATTTATAACACACAGGAGTGGGGTGGAAGTAAAGTTTCCTCTCTGAAACTGAATCATACGTCCATTTAAACAACAATACCTTGTGCAAAATAACAAAGAGATTTAAATGTTGAAATAATAAAATAACATGAGGAGAATACAAGTAATGAAAGTTGAGTCGATAACAATAAATACAGGAATACAAGGAATTTAGGGGTGAGAGAAAATAATATTCTGACACAAGTATATATAGTTTTCTAACTGTTATATGTAGTTTTACACAGTTTAATATGTGTTAAATGCTAAATTGAGACAAATATTTGTAGTACTTTCTACAGTGGGAAGGGGTTTTTTTTGTTATGACATTTTTAGCTAGAAATTCAATGTCATCTATAACTGGACAGATTTGAGAGTGAAGACATCTGTATTTATTGATTTGAAGCTCGGCCGATCGCACCAGAGTTTCCTTAGGTTTTGGATCATGTCAAAATAATCAAAGCTCATCTGTTGTTTCTGTATTTATGTGTTTATGTCACAGTGAAAGTATTAATAACGTGATCTATTGGTGTGACGCACAGACTGTAAATACAGATGGACGACACGTCTCCCATTATCCAGGATACAAATGCTGCCATCAGACGGAGTCAGATTCTGCGCGCTAATGATTATGGGATGGAAATCAAAATCAAGAAACTACAACCAAACTGGATTTTATTTAGATATTTTCGATTGGTCCAAGCCCTGGGGGGGGGTCTACATGCTTTGGCTTCACTTCATGTCTTCTATTTTTATTAACAGTCTCTGGTTTGAGGAGAAAGTTAAAGAGCCTGCGTATCAACTCATGAGTCTTTCTCTCTCTCGCTCAGCTGGTTGGTCGCCATCTTGGCTCAGGCCAACCCTCTGTTCGGCCCTCAGCTGAAGAATGAGACGATATGGTATCTGCGCTACTTCTGGGAGTAAAGGTCAGTTCGTCCGATTTAAAGATACAACTTGCAACTTAACACCTGAGAATTATCAACATGAGACAAACAAATAAGAACAAACAGAGAAACTCTGTTTTTCTTTCGTAAATCAGAAACATCTTCGAAGTTTCACTCAGGCCTGAATATTTATCATCAACAAAAATGAGCCTGGTGAAATGAAATGATGAAATGATGATGATGTGTTTTCAAGGGACGTTCGCTCCGAGCTACTGGAGCTTTGGTCCACGCAGAAAGTGTTTATCTGAAACCTGCTGGTTCGCATCTCTTCTCTGAGCCTCACAGTCAACAGCGATGATCGCACCTGATGTTCACGATGCACAGATGATACAGAATTCACTGCGTCTTTCTGCTCTTCCTCTCCAGGTCTGTGCCATGTGATGCCTCCCATCATTCCTCACAACCCTCCTCTAGTTCAGTGGATTTGATTTCAACATAACTCCTGAACATTTAAAACTCCACATCTCCAGTCTGCAAAACCGATGGAAGATTTCTTATGTCGCTGCATTTTTTTTTTTTTACTCAAATTTCAGCGTCAGTCGTCTTTGCAGCCTTGAGGAATATTAAGTATAGTGTGTAGCATGTTTAACATTTAGGCCGCATCCAAACTACTACGTTTTTGTCTGAGAACACATCATCTCTGCGACGGATGCGTCTGGTGTCCTGCGTCCGTCTGAACAAACAGAAACAACATAGCCACGTGACGTGTAACGCCACGTGTGGATGAAGCTTGTTTTATGAAAACTCAGTATTGTGGATGTTGCCTCAGAGTTTATTGGGACATGTGTGTTTTAAAACAAGGTTGCACTCGATGGATTCGTGAGCGACTATGAAGACTGTTTTATTTTTCTGTCTCTCAGTGAAACCATGACATCCTCTGTCGGTTATTAATCTTCCCTCTCTGAAATGTGCAATCCTTAAACATCCTGTGTTTTTGTTTACATTTTCAGTTTTGTGTCGCTGCCGTCAGGGAACTTCTGAGTGTTTGTATTTATTTTGCCCGGTGGACGCTGACGTGAGCTGCAATTACCTCAGTGTCGGCCCGGTCTTGTTAGATGATTGTGATTATTTGTGATGTAATGTCTTTGTGCGTGTGTGTGTATGTTTGAAATCACTGGGGTTGCTTGGCCCGCCGCCGTGAGAATCTCTTTTAAAAAACTTTTTAGAACGTGAAGAGTGATTCCCTCCTCTTTCGACCACTTAAGCACGAACCCCCCCTCCACATTCCCCTCATGCTCCACACTGCGGAGGTCCTCGTTGCCATGGTGATCTCGTCGCACAATTCAGTCCCGCTCCCCCTCGACCCTCTGGTTTTTTTTTTTCTGCCTGTTCTCGTGTGCAACAGATGTGTCGTGGGTCGCACTGCAGGGGCACGTTTTCCGAGCGAGGCTGCCAATAGATTTAACGACATTTCCACTATTTTATTTTAGATTTCACACCACACAGCCACCACCCCCCTGCCGACCTTTCAAACAGCAGCTTCACCAAACCCCCTCGTTTAAACTTGGCCTAATGAATTCTTTTGGGGGCTTCCAGCCCGTCGAGGCACAGTGACCCCCTCACGTCTTTTCAGCCGCAAAGGAGCAGCAAGAAAAGATGCTTTTAGAAGTGTTCACAAAGCAACGAGAAAAAACTGCGTTTCACAAAAAAACACCTTCTGCAATCCGCTGACTCAGATCAGCCGATAAACAGCAGCCGCGTGGTTTTCGGAGTGATGATGACACTTTAAAGTTTTGTCATACGGCCGCAAAACAGCACATTTAATGATCTCTCCTGATTTTCTGTATATTTTATTTAATGTTTGCCTTGAATAAGATGCTGGTTTGTGACACACCTGCCTCCTCAGCTGCCGCCATCACCACAACTGCACCTCCCTCGCCCCATATCCAACCCCGAGAACCCCGTCCTCTCTCCTTACTTCCTTCCTCCCTTCCTTGACACTGTCCCTCCCCTTCTTCCAAACCACTTTGCTTCAGCCAAAAAGAAAAAAGAATCAAAGCCAATATACAGCTACTTTTTAGAAAGACCAAATTGCGTTGTATCTTTTCCTCCAGCCCTCTTTGGTAGTTGTGTTGGTGGCGTGCATGTAAAAGTGAACACACAGGAGGGTTAACATCAGCGTGCTGTAGAGTCCGTCAGTAAAGAGAAGACCTGCATCAAATAGGGTGTGACCACATCTGATCGTATCTGGAAATAAAGATGGACGATACAAAAATATTCCAGATACAAACTCTACCACTGACAACTGAGACCGACTTTTGATTGGCCAGTGTATCAACAGGACCCTGATACCATGGCTCCACTTTCTGATCACGACTGCGCAAAATATTCCAGATGCGAACGCCGTCATCTTACGGAACTGGAGCCGACGTTTCGTCCATCTTTATTTACAGTCTAGGGAAAGCTGACTTTGACGCTTGCTGGTGTTTACTTTCAGTCCCAACCAAGAAGCTCATTTACTGATCAGGACCTTTGGTGAGACGTTAACATGCAGGGCCACAAACGACAGAGCTGGTGGAGTCAAAACAAATCCAATCCCGGGTCCAGTGACTCCGGCTCTCCCTGCGTGGTTCTTCCTGAGCATCGGTCCAGACAGCGATTTACTTTCACTTCGTTTCCTCTTATCAGGGTCGCAAACCATTAACTGCCGGTCGTCACAGGAATCCACAAACAATGTTGTGTGTTGAAGTTTGTTTCCTATTTGAATCACAGTCTACGTCCAGAGGGACAGAGTCACATTATCTGCGAGTCATTGGAGAGCAAATTATTCTCACTTGTTAAGTGTTAAAGAGAGCGAACAGTCCAGACTGGACATGAACCCGTCCGAACACGTTGGGTGTGAACCTGCCATGAAAATGTGATGATTTTCTTTTCCGTTTCTGGTTCTTTTGGAAACCAGCTGCTGTTTTATTGGTTAAATTATTCCTGGCAACGTAGATGGAGAGAGATTTGTGCGTGTGTGTGTGTGTTCAGAGTCACCATGGTAACAAAATCTACTAAATGACAGATCTAATTGTTGGTGCAGATGAGTTCCTTCATGTGACCTTGTATTAGTGTGAAGTGCTTCTGTGTGAGTGGCATCATATTTGAAACACCCAATAAAAGACACTATATGTCTCATAGAGTCTGATGAGGTCATTAATGTGCACTGATGCACTGATAACACACACGTGCACACACATACACACGCACACAAATAGTATATATACACACACCTGATTGAGTGAAAATCCTGGGAACACAAAGATGTTTGATTTTTACTGATGATTCTCTGTGTATCTCAGCATTTCACGAATACGCTGAAGCCTTCACCCTTACACAAGTTTAATCTTATCTCACCGAGGACACAAAAACAAGTACACACATATACACACAAAACTGGCTATTTCTGTTTCTTGTTAATATCTGAGGGGTTCAGGGGGTTTGTTGGAGATAAATTTTATCGCTGAGTCCTGTGTGAGTTTGTGCGGAGGAGAAAATTAAAAATGATGAAGCACCAAGTGTCAACTCTTGTGTTGTCACTTCCCCTGCTGATGTCGAAACACTGCTGGGGAAAGGGTTGAAGGACCGTGGCAGTTTGATGAAGTTACCTTGGCAATCAAGGACAAGGCTGACTCCCTCACACGTAACTCCCACTATGTGCACGGGGAGGCGCGCATGCATGATTCATACATCTAACTCACCTCATCTATCAGGTGCAGACATTTTGCCGGGAGGACGTTCAACAGTTTGCACCAGAGAGCTGGAAACCCGAAGCCTGCAGTGTCGACCTGCTCATAATCAATTGATTCTTTTATTGATCGGGGAAAAAAACGCTAAAGGGAAAAGAAGCGAAAGACGTAAAGGTAAGATAACGTTTCATCATGAGGCTGAAAGTAATGATTGTGTTCAGATATAAATTGACCTGTTCCATCATAAACATGATTTACAGCACAAACAGGACTCAAGCTCAAAATAGTTAAATTTGAAATTAGTTGTATGTAATATTTTAAAGAGTTACACAAAACACCAAAATGTTGTGTTCTTCCGATCACGGCAGGAGAATGACTGAAAACGTACTCAATACTGAAGCTTTTGAGTGTGGACAAAATAATGAAGGTATTATTAAGGACATGAAATTCAAGAATTAAACAATTAAAATTACAGTGCAGTAAAATGTTTTTTTTTAATTCACGTGTATGTTACATTTTACTGCTGCACACTGAAAAAACATTCTGTCCCTCGTTCATTCTGGCTCATTCAAACTAAATATTTTGAATAAATTAGGCCTACTAAACAATTATGAGTACAATCAACAAAAACGACTTCATACTTTAGATTTAGATAAATGTATTGTGTGCAACCACTTGAAATAATAATCTTTTTCAGTGCATTTGGAACCAGAATACAACACAGTTTTGTAGCTGCACTTTGTTTTTGACAGTCTATATCCTACACATGCACACAGACCTGCAGAATGTTGGAGTTTTTGTAAACTGAGGATATTTTTTGCTGTAAACCGAAGATCTGCAGCAGAGAAGTTTCCACATATCACCTTTAACCATCAGACTTTTTAAGGAGAAAGAAAACAGGCTTGGGTGTCGGTGCAGAGGCTAAAGAATAAATGAAATTCATACAGGTCATGCACCTTGAAAAACATAAAGAGAATCGAGGCGGCACTTAAATAGCTGTTTGTGATTTTATTTTTCTTTGAGCTACCGTTTTGTGTTTTATAGCCTCACATCTAATGTTGTTGTAATACAGCTCCCAGCCATTGGTGGCAGCACTGAGCTTAGTGCTGCTGAGCAGAACTGGCGTTAGTGACCAAATAAGGAAAACTGCATTTTTATTTTACACATCTTTGTTTGGCTTCAAGAGAAATGACCCACTTGTACTTTTGCACTCAATCTACAATGTAGGTACGTCGTAGTCGTTTATGCTAAAATATAACCAGAGAAATGTAGCTAGATGATATGAGACGCAACTGTGACTGATCCACTTGGTAGCAAGTTCGGTTAATATCTCTCCGCTGCTGAACGATAGACTGTAAATAAAGACGGACGCTGTGACAACTCCAAGTGAAGCCAAAATATGTTGATCACCCCCTGGTGGCTGGCTGCAGTTCATTTCATAACCCCGCCTCCTCCTTAGCAGATGAGACATGGACCAAAATAAAATGTGGAATATTAAATATATTTGTGTCACAGATGGTTTTGGTCTTGTTCTTACAACACTGATTTGTAATCAAGTGTTCATGTAAGAACAGGGTGAAACGTCATGACTGAGTCTATGGTCCCATTCACTAACATGGAGGAGGTGAGGTTTATGACCTGTACTGCAGCCAGCCACCAGGGGGTGATCAGGATGATTTGGCTTCACTTATGGTCACTGTGACGTTTGATCAATCGCAGAATGCGTTTTACAAAATAATGAAGCAACATGTTGCATGAATACTTATTGTTGGAGTTGATAAAGAAAATATAGTCTTGTGATGTAGCCGTCAGCTCAGCACAAATACTTTTGCCGGGTTATAATTATGTTTTATATAATACGAGTGTGATGTGTCTGCTCCGCTGTCCTCTCACATTAACAGGACAAACATTCATCTATAATTCACAGCTGCAAACAGATGAGCGGCGCTGCAGCTTTGCCGTCTCCCTGTGGATGCAGATTAATGAGTAAACAGCCCATTAAGTCTGTGTGACATTTGGAAAAAGCCGCAGTGTTCTGGTGAGTGATTGAACAACAGTGATTTATTCTGTCCTCTGGTCACAACTGAGAGAGGAAGACGAGGGCGGATAACGCTGTTGAATTCACGCTATGAGGAAATGCTGCCAAAAACTGAGCTATTGTCCTGCAAGTGTGTTACGTTCAAACCTCGGCCTACATTTCTGTTTATGCCAAATTAATACACATTATTTAGGGACACACACAGGCCTACACATATGGGCTGTAACTGACAGATACACACAAACGCCCCGCGGCTTATCCTCTGTAATATTCATAAAATGTGGCTTAATGTGCTAATGCTCCATGACAACCTACTTTCCTCTGAGAGTACATTAAGATTTAACCATCTTTATGCAAACGGTATATGAGCTGGCCTAAATAACACAGGCTGCGTCTTTTCATCACAAGGGAGCAGCTGCACAAGTCTGTTGATGCATATGATCTCTCTTCTTACACAGACACTGTTTCAACGTCTGCACGGAGGCTGTTTATTGTTCAGCCACCATGTTTCATAGCTAAGAATAGAATTTATTAGCAGATTCCTCAGTTTTGGTTATTGAAGAATTGGAGAAGCCTATGTTGTAAATACACACAAAAAACTTGAAGATAAAATATAGTATGTTAAATGATCAACTTGATTTATTATGTATTTATATCAGATTGCAATATTTTAGTATAGTACATTTAGGAAACTGTTTTGGATAATATAACCAGACAGGGGAGGCGTTTTTGTTACTAGCCTCAAATTATACATGAATATTTAAAAATACTTTATCACATTGATGCTACAAACAATGTTGTCATCACAGGAATTTATATTTAGTTTATTTGAGGAAATTGCAACTCAAATATTTCCATATATAATATTGACTTGTAGCTGAGTAGTTAGTGTTTTCATAGATTCCATGTATTTTTAGTTTTTACATACAACAGACTGTGTTAGCTGTCCACATGATGTTTTCTAATATAAATAAATGTGTTATTATGATAAATGTTTAAATTCTGCAACTTCTCATTCTTATTTACACTCGTTTGCCAGTTTATTAGGTACACCTAACCACACAGGAGTTATTAAGTTGAGGTTTTGTGGTGATTGAAATCCACAGTCTTTCATAGGTGTGAGATTCACCAGAGCCTGACTGATTTATCTATTAGCTGATAAAAATCAACTGGTATTAGACTTTCACAGAAATGTTAATATTGATGGTCAAAGCTGCGCACTGATGAAAACATTTCATCCCATTTTATCATTCCAAGCTCTATACATTAGGTTGTAGTTCTATTTTCTTATTATTTATAATTATTTATGATGAATTTTATTGTTGAACTGTAAAATAATGGTCCATATATCCACATTATATATTGGTATAACTGCCTCACAAAGAGAAGGGATTATAATGTAATATAGTGTAATTATTAAATAAATACAATTCTCATCACCAGGAGCTGCAGTGGATTTATTGAGGAAGTTTAAAGAATAGTATAATCTTTATTTCTCTTACTTTTAACTAAAGTCATAAGTATCCGTGGAGCGGCTCTAGAGGAGAGGTCTCCCCGCTGTGGAGGCCTCCTGACGGGGCTGAGCACACGGAGGAGAAGCGGTTCCAGGCAGCGGGTGTGAGCGGAGCCTCAGCCCCGGGGCCCTGCAGGGGTCAGCGGGTTCACCGCTTCACTTCTCCCGGTGTCCTCAGACACGGGTCGTGTGACCCCGCCCCTCTGACGTCACTGTGTCGACACACACCATATCCGCTTCCGCCCTCAAAAGTCAAGCTGCGAGAAATGAACCGCCCACAACCGGAAATACAGACTGTGCCTTTCCGAGTAAAACTAAAAACGTCTCTTGTGGAGCTGTAAAAATCCGTATGTTGGTAATTAAAACAGTCAAAAAATGAAACACTACTATACCCATCATATTCTAATACTTTATACTTTTAAATTGCATATATGAGTGTTTGTCCTATTCATACTTTACTATGTTTCCTTACACTTAAGTATTGCATGTTACATCTGGTAACAGCAGGACTACAACACTCAGTATATACTAGTGTTCATACTGAGATTAATAAATGGGTCACTAGAGCAGAGCAGTGGAAATACAGTACAATATAGTATATTTCATATATGATATCCATCTATATACCTTGAAAAAGTCTAATCAGCAGATATATTGTATAAATACAGTTTTATATGATCATCCTGTACTACTGCACGTTTCTGAATAACATTTATATATAAACAATATTTCCGTAGTTGAAGTTGTGTATTATGTACATGTTCTCTATTCTTATTATCAACGAGGACAACGTAACCTTAATGTGAACTTTTATTTTGAAGCCCCTTCAGCCGGAATCTCTTATTTTGACAGCTGATCTACAGGATTACTGTGAGCTCCACCCACCATCCCCCCCATT